AGGGTGCTAAGGGCTCACACATAGCACTATTCGTCCCCAGCACCCTGCCCACTGTGCCCCCCACGCAGCACCCTGCACCCCGGCACAGCCCCTGGCACCCACCTGGCAGCCAGGTCAGAGAGGGCAGAGGAGGCGCCAGCTGCTCCAAAGAAGGGGAAACTGAGGCACATTCCTTGAGCAGACAGAGGGACTTGGCAAGAGCACCCCCCCAGCGCCGCCTGCCCTGGAAATGTCTCCTGCCAAGTGGGAAAACCCCACAGCACCAGGTTGGGAGCACAGGACTTCCGCACCCCTGGACAAACGCCCTTTGGCCCCCTCATGCCCATGTGCCAGACTTTGCACAACAGCCAGCTCTGGGCCAGTGGGAGGGGGGCCGGACCCAGCCCCCAGCTGCTCCCAAACCCAGCACAACGCCCCATCCCTCTGTGCCCCCAGCACCCAACTTCAGAGCCCTGGGGTACACCCCAGCTCCACAACGGCATCCCCCTGCCATGTTTTCTCAGCTGCTCTCCCTCACTTGGGGGGGAGTCTGGGGCTGGAAGCTGGCTGAGGGGGGGCGGTTCTGGCACAGCCCCACGGCAAGGGTCCGAAGCAGCCCCCGCCTGCCCCTCCAGCACTGCAGGCACTGTCTGGACTCACACCACCACCTCCTCCCCACAGCCAGTGGATGCAAAGGGACCACTCATCCAGCACGTCCTCCAGAGCATCCTCCCCGCATCATGTTCAGGTCTCTCCTCCTTAAAACATCCCCCACCAACCTCCTCCTCTTCCCACTTCCCACCTGGCCATTCAGCCTGGGTTATTTCTCCCTACACCTCAGGCAGGAGGTGCCTGGCCATTTCACTGTCCCCCACCTAGGACACCTACAGCCACCCACCCCTGCCTGGCCAGAAGGCACTGCACCCTGTATTTTTGTAGGTCCGACCAAAATAACTTCCTCTGAGCAAGCTGCACACACAAGCTGCCCTCACACCAACAGCTGGGAGGCAAAAGAGTGTCATATCCAACCTCAAAGGTGTCCCCATCCACCCAGCACACCATGGGGGACAGGATCTAGGGAAGGCTGCAGGAGCCTGGCACAGCCAAATTTATCTGGGGTGCCGGGAAAGATGCTGGCTCCATTTTGCCACCCACCCAGCCCCACATGCGTGCTGCCTGCAGTGGGTTGCGGGATCCCAGGAGCCTACAGCACAACGACCCTAAATCTTACTCCCAGAGCATCCGTGAGGCGGAGCCTTCCTGAAAGAACCCCCTTTCCCCTGGGGCAGGCGGGGACAACCCAGAGGATCCAAACGTGGGATGAAGACAATTGAGGGGGGGGATCTGGGTATGGGGCCAGAGCCCTGTTATCACTGTCCCGGGCACTGGCTGGGTTGGGTCTGCAATCGGCAAGTGCCTGGCACTGATTTACACCCCAGAGCAGACGAACCCCCACCACCACACCTTCTCTTCAGGGACTCCCCCACACTGGCCAGCCCCTCGCCCCAGGCCCCCACGCCCCTGACCTTGCTCCTCATCTGCCCCGAGGTGGACACCTTCCGGATGAGCTTGTGGGAACTGTCCTCCTGCTCGCCCTCGCTGTCAGATGACTCCTCGCCGCCCGCCTCAGGTGAGATGGGTGCCAGCTTTTCCGAGTCCAGGGATGACACCGATTCCCGGGTCTTCCTCAGGAACAGGTCCCCAGGCACCAGCTTCTCGGCCATATTCCCACCCAGTTTGGCTCAGGGCTCCGCCGCCTCTGTAACAGCCCTGGGAGGACAAGGACACAAAGGAGTGGAGGAAGAGCCCTGACAGGGGGTGCATGGCCCCTCACCCTCTATGGCTCAGCCAGCCGGGAGGTGCAATCCTGGAAACCAGAGGGGATGGCGTGTCTTCACCCAGGAATGCCGCTCAGGCTTCCTTTGGCTTCCTTGCAGGCAAAGTTTCCTTCCTTGCCTTTTTTCGGTGTCCCAACTCTTCCTCACCCTGCCTGGCATCCCAACGCTGTCCCTTGCTGCGCCACAGGAGGCTTTGGCTACCCCTCACCCTGCCATTGGGGTGCACCTCCCCTGCCGCAGCCTGCACCCCCCCAACTCTGGTGCCCGTCCCCAGGGCGCCGGGTGGGGCAGGGGGAGCGAGGGGGTCTCCATGAAAAGCAGCAGCTGCCTCCCTCCATCCGCCCCGCTCCGGGAGCCGGGAAGGGCTGGGAGCATCTCCCGGCCCCGCGCAGCTGGGGCGCCGGTCCCGAGCAGGTGGCTGCGGGTGGGGTGGGATGGAGCGGGGGGCGCGGGGCTCCTTGCACGCGGGGGAGCCATCTCCCCACGGCATCCTTGCCCGCCCCGAAGGCTATGGGCCGCCTGGGGCGGGGGGGGG